AAAAAAAAACTACTCATAAAAAAAAAACACAATAGTGATACATGAAATGCACAATAGTTATATTAGGTTAATTTGATGTACAATTATATCTACTAAATCTAAATTTCAAAAACGCATAAGTTATATGTGATCGTATAAAGTAGTGCGCTTCATATATCAACAAGATACACTTTATAAAATAACATGTAGCACTTTATAAAATAACACGTTGCACTTTATAAAACAACATGTTGCACTTTATCACTACACTCCATACTTAACGTTAAACATCTTACCGCAAAATACGGATATACATAATATTTTAACATCAATCACAACATTTGTCCACACGAAACACAAGCATGCTACCAGATCAAAATTATATTAGTTCACCTTATACATCAATATTCTGCACTTTATAAAACAATATGTTGCACTTTAGAAAACAATACGTCACACTTTATCAGGAGACTATCAAATTGCACAATCAAGATCGAAACATACCGATCAAAAATTTTACAACCAAAATTAATAGAAAAAATAATAAATAAAATTATTATCATAATAAATATAATTTTAATATAGATGGCAAATTATTTTGATTATTTATGATAATTCGGTTAACCGAACCGAATAAACCAATTAATTATGATTATTTTTAGTTTGATTTGAGATAAAGGTTTGGTTGGTTCAATAGAATACAGACCGACACCGTGCACCATATCGATGACCAAATTGCACCTTAATAACCGTTAGATTGCGCGGTATATTTCGTTTGCATATATACAATTTTTTTAATAAATAAACTGATATAAAATATCAAATGAAAAATATTTAATGTTAATCATGTTTTCTATAGTAAATAATACTCCCTCCTATTTCTTTTAAATGTCATTCTAGCTTTATCAACTATTTGCTAAATAAATGTCGTCTTAGATCTTTTTTACATATTTTTCTATTATCACCCTCATTTAGCTAATAAATACATCACTTCTTTTCATAATCACTCTTCATCTTTTTCTCAAAACATTTCATCTCTATCTTCATTAAATAAGGTTATTATTGACAAAAAAATATTCTTAATAGATGTGCAACATCCCAAAACGACATCTATTTAAAATAGGAGGTAGTATAATTTATGTCGGTTATTTTGGTTATCTACGTTAACCGACTATGTTGAAATTTCAACGTCGATCGGTTCATGATAATGTGCATTATGTAGCGCGTTAACATCTTGATATTTTTTTAAATTTTTAATATGTATATACACACCCGATATTGTGCAAATTATTTATGGTTGTTGTGCATTGTATGTGTATCAGACATATTGTGCCATTATAAATTTCTAATAAATACATATTTAATCCATCAATTAAAATTAACTATATAAAATTTCTGGAAATTTAATATGAACACACATACACGTATTATATATTTTTTTTAACAATATATTACATCTATTAATTTTTTAATAAAATAGATATTTAAACTATTAATTAAATTGCAATATAGATGAAGTTCTTAAAACTACATATTTGACCCTAAAAAGTACCTAATTTTCCTTACGCCACCCATAACCTAATCCTAATTCATACACCCACACAATAGTCCCAGATCTCCCCAAATCATCCAAAATCTGCCCAAATCGTCACAAATCCCAACCTTCCCTGCGGAGGCACTGCCTCGAATCGGCAGCCCATTGAACACGAATCCACCCACGCAGAGGACGCACGGCCGACTCGAGTCGACCGAAACTTGGAAACCCGACTCCGTCGGAGGCGCTGCCGGGTTCCCACTGTTGGCGACACAACGACTTCACGTGAGGTGTTTAACGATGATCCGGAAGTCGGTGACAGAATCTTGCACCCGGCTTTCGACGGCAAATCGAATGTGACTTTGATGGACCGATTGCGGCGGTGGTCGGTGGTGGAGCCGTGGCAGGATATGGCGGCAGTGACAGGACCGAACGGCTGCGGTTTGGTGCTGGATGTCAGAATCCAAGGCTGTCCGATGTGCTGTACGCCGGCGTCTGAGTTGTGTGTGTGTGTCTGTGGCGGCGACCATCGCCGGACGGCAGCCAGCGTCGGGCGGCGGTCTGTTTCTATGGGGCCCTGAGAATGTATGTGAATGGCGTGTGAGATGTGTGTGTATCGACCCAGTGGTGTGTGTTTAGATGGAAGATAGAGGTGGGTCTATTGGTAAGTTGTAATAATTTGAAATGACT